ACAACGTGCTCATGGTTAGCCATATTTTGAGAGTGACGAAAAATGGTTGGAACATACGCGTCGTTCATTTTTCTTATGGCTTCCTCGGCATCTTCGTCCCTCTTGTAGGTGATGAACGCATAAAACGGATGATAAGAAGCGAGCCATATATCAACGACCTTTCCGAATTTTCTGAAAAAGATTGCATTTTGACGATAAGCTGATATATTGGATTAATGGAATGGAACTTACTCGAAGGCTTTCTCAAGATCTCTTTTGGAAATCGATGCGGTCAGATCCGACACGTGTATTCTTCCGTTGACAACACGACGGCTGCTTGATGGCACCGGAGAATAGGTGCGAGAACGGGATCTTGAGCGGCGAGAGCGACGTCGTTCACGTCTAAATTAGGTTTCTCATGAACGTAAACAACTTGGTCAACGTAAAACGGTAACACGAGAGCGCCATCGTATGGCGACTCATTAGAAAAAGACTCCAAGTCTAATGTAGCACTGCGAGAGCACAACTCCTTCTCCACTGAGTTACTGGGCGGAATCCTAGGTTGGTCCACCTCCATGCATTGGATTTTGCAACATGGCCGATTCAGAAGTGCAGGGAGTGTACCCTATTAAATGACTTGTTTTGGGACCATATGAGTAGGAGTTCATTAGTCCCTAGCATCCTTAAAAAAGCGGCACCGCACAGGACAGCCGAAGCACTGAAAAGTGGAGGTAGTACGCTTACCAAGGAAAATTGGGACGTCGCCAGTAGTTGCAATGTTCGTCACAAATTTGTAACTCAAAATCGCTATTAGAACTGACGAGCGAGTTTTGAGCAATCAATGTTGACAGACTCGCTATAAACACTTCCTCAGGAAGTCTGCAGCGTTAACGACCAGCTCTGCTGAACAAAATGGATGTGCTCGGTTCGGCGCCAACGTTACCGGAGATGGATGTCTATCGATCTCACAGACTCCGCTTGAGAGAAGATGCCAGTGCCTACGGATCTATCGTAGTGTCTTCGCAGAGGCGAAGAGCAGAACTGCCCATAGATGAGTGTCCAACTCTTTGTGCGAGGACCTAGGAAGCTTTTCCGAGCTGCCTGTCGATGAGCATTAACATCTATTCGCAATCGTTTCGTTCTGCAGTTCGTCAGGGTCACAAAATGCGAACAACGCCTTAATACGCGAAGAACTGATCCATTCCAATACAGATTTCAGATGGAGAGGGCGTCGAGACGGATAAGTGACGTGGACACAGCGCCGTAACGTCATAGCCGAAGAGAATTTGCAAACGAAATGCAGGCAGCAACGGTTATTAATGTACGGTTTTTTTAATAACCAGGGTTCCGGAAACTGACAATGTACGTTCCCAGTCTGCCAGCCTGCCAATAGTGTAAACAGCGCGAGTTTTATTACACAAACCCCAATCAATACGTTGACCATCTTCTCAATATACCCAGAATGTTGCGCTTTATTCAGGTACCGATCAATTGTTTCACAGAAAGGAACATACCCTCTGCTTCTGCTCCTCGACCTGCTAGCACTACGGCTTCTAGAGCGTGAGCTAGATCGTGAACGACTGCGAGAACGAGAGCGCGAATCACGGCGCGATTTCCTCTCCTTCTTCTTGTCTTTATCTTCTTCCTGAAAATAATCAAATCGAATGCATTCAGAACGTATCAAATGTGGCAACTTACCTCTTTCACAATCTCCTTGTCTTCGTCCGGTTGCTTCTCTTCAGGAGTTGCATCGTCCTTCTTAGGTTCACTCTCCTCAACCATTGGAAGTTCAACTTCGGCAGGTGCGGCTACAGCTTCTGTTGCCATTCCCTGAAAACAAAAAAAACATGGACCAGCAACCACCACACTCTTGAATGCGCACAACGACCCAACGTGCAGCATCACATCAGTTCAAAGACAGAAGAACATCGCTGAACCTCGACAAACTGAGAGATATTTACGAAAGCGGCGAAAGAGGAACCGCACGGCGCACGCAGCACAACAAAAATGAGGCCACCGCACGCGTCATGGCAATCGATAAAGACTGCGATTGCTGTTGAAGACCACCACACTGCCACAGAATTTCGTCGATACCGTACACCAAAAAAGTTCAAACTGGTATTTTAAAGCTGTCTTTAATGTTGTTAGATGATTCACGAGAGGAGCTGATTCGCCAACCTAACAGGCAGGATATTCTAAGATGATAACTGTCCATTTTTATTTTGGTTTTTTTTTTCGGAAACACAAGGGTAAAACTGATTGGTGGAATTGAACGGTGGTCATAAGTTAGGGTGCGAGTGATGGTGTTGGTGAGGAGATCATGGAGTTGACTTTTGACAATGTTCTAGAAGAGCAGACGAGTATAGCTCGCAATTTTTGTGGCAAAATAATGCTATTCATCCATTACCCTACCACAAAAAAAACTAATTTTGCTGAAACTTTGCCCATAGTTGTTCGATGCCCTGATCAGGAACATAAAATTCATTCTTGTTCCTGGCGCCATTTAGCGTCCTCTTTTCACCAAAATCGTCGTGAGCTTGCACAACAGGTTTGTTTGATGATTGACTTGATTTAAATACGAGTGCAGCATTCGTTTTTTGACATTAGAATCATTTAGCGCTCTGCTAGGGCGAGCCTAATGGAAAGAGAAGAGTGATTCTCACCATTGTCAGTCCAGGCTCAGCTTAGCAGAGCGCCGATGATCGTTCTGTCTTGCATTGATGCCGGCGCTAAGAATGAATGTCATATATTAGAATGTCAAATAACCCTTCTGTACAAATTTTCACCGATTTTTGTGAAGAAGGGTATTTTGGCGGCAGCATCTGTGGCTTGGGCCAAGCTGAGGTGATACTTGTGTTCAGGAGTCGAACTTCCCTTGAAAGCAAATTTCGGCAAAATCTACCCTCGTCAAAGTCGGTAGAGACCGGTCTGTTTTTTGGAAGGTTTGGGAAGTAACAGGTGCATAGAGCCGAAAAAAAATGAAAACGTGCATCTGTTGAAAATAGGCCTACATTTTGATGGCACCTTCCGGGCAGGATCCATGCGGTGCTGTCAGGACCAGAGTCAAACGTTTCGATATAAAGTACACAGTGTTAGAAATCTTACATGCATGCTGCTAGAGGGAAAAATGATAAAAGTAATGAAATAAAGTTCGAAAATCCTACAAACGCGTCTGTGAAGTAGCGGAATCATGGGGGTTGGCACATGTCCATGTGCAATCTTATGTGTGCAATGTGAAAGTGGAAAAATACGGCTATAAATTAGTAGAAAAAAAATCAGAGGATACATATATCGAAGGTGGGCAGGGCTGCTGAGGTGGAGCCTACTTTGGTTTTTGGGTAAATATTTTCAGAGAGGCGCTTCGTACCAAACTTCGTCGTATCGCGAAAGCTAGTGCTCTAGTTCCTCCGTCTGAATAGGTGATATCAAGCTGATATGGTAAGTGGCATGTACACTCTAGTTCGCTGCGGACGGTTGGGCGTGTCAGGCAGTATGAGTGTGTCACCCGTCAAAGCCGTTCTCTGCCTTCTTGTTGAAGCGCGCATGCGACAAAAAGTGGTAGAAAACGAGTAATACGAACGATATGATACAGTCATATCATTTGCTCGCTTTAACAACTGGTGGAGAACGGGTTTGGCACCGCGCCAAACTCATCCCGCCTGACACGCCCAACCGTCCGCAGCGAACTACACTCATTATATGCTTCTTATCATCATTTCGGCCCGATCCCATGTGCACTTTGGAGGTGACAACTGCGACGAGACTGCACTTTGTGGCGAACGAGCTGTACCCACTCACTTTATTGGTTCGGAACGTCATTGTTGAAATCGGTGGAATCAGGCCTTCAAGCGCAGAGAATAGGGAACAATTAAGCGCTCGAAGAGGTGAGTTGCATGAGACTGAGGGCGTAGAGGGCGAACGGGAACGTCCATCTTGAATGAGGCGCTACAAAAGTGTAGCGAGATTCTGGGAAACTCGAGAGTGTCGGTGCAGGCTAGATCAGTTGTCGAAGTTGTGTGGACTTGAGCAGAACGGGAAATGGAAGCAGTCTGGAAGAGGAGTCCGAGGGGAAGCGTTGTCTCCTTCGCCGAAGAGAGAAATCAAGGAGACTGTTGCTCAAAGAAGGATCGAATGTGTATATGGCTGGAAAGAGTATGTGAGAACAATGGAACAGGAAGGTGAAGTCATGTCAGTCAGAACTTTGTGAAATATCGAACGCGGACGTCTTTCAGGTCAAGCAAGAAAGCTCTCCATCAGCTTATAGTTAGAGATAAGAGATGCCATGGA